CGGGAAATTCGAGCATGTCTTTGTGTCATGACGTCACACCCGTACACATAAAGGAGGAGTTTCGGCTAGCCGGCTATACTGCGCGTGACGAGATGTTTAGATGTATAGGCTTTTCTCGCAGCACTTTACATAATTAAACTTATGGCATCCAGAAATATCCAAACAACAATCATCAGTGTCAACTGGAGATTCAGCAGTTATAAAACCCAAAAGACTTCGTACTTCGGATTTAAGGTGGCTAGAGAAAGAGAAAGAAACCGTCTCATGCGAACACAAGGATTTAAACATCGGCGGGGCTTTTGAAAAGTGCGTGAACTCCGTGTTTTGAAGGGGTTCAAAACGGAAGAAGAGACATTTCAATAGTTCAATCGTGTAACAGTACGTTTTCTTAATTCACACAGTTAAGGAGTTTCCTTTGTTGTGCCTTTCTCGTTTTGCTATTATGGAGAATATAAATTCTGAACTACACAGGTAGCTGCTAACCATAAAACACATTAAATTCAACATTAGTCACGCAATGCTGATGTTGTTAACATGAACAATTTGAGAACAAAGTAAGCTATAATTTGCACGGTTGCTGTAAATCGCGTTGATTAAATCTAACGAAGCTTATCATGTCGAATGCTTTTTCCCCCTTAGTTGGTCAGAACAAAAATGGATTTTACTTACTTGTTCAGAAGACATTTTCTTATGAAAATTCTTATGTTGGTCAAACTTTCAAAAAGTGAATCTGTGATTCTGTATGACAGTCTCCACACAGCGCGGTGACTGACAGCAGCACTCGCCTCAAAGCACTGTGTTCATCCGCGCTGTTTCATGCCGATTTACAACCCACGTAAAGATAATAATTCCGCGAATCACTGCAGTTACAGATTTCGAACAGAGAGATGGCGACAAAGAGGAAAAGATACGGACTGCAGCTTTAATTAAGACTGTAGCTGGGATTTTTACAACAGACCTTTGAGTATGGACTGCAATAGTGCCTCTCTATGGTTAAATGCAGACATTTTTTAGCCTTATTTAAATTACAATAAATAAAATTTCCAAACATTAACTTGCTCACTTTCATGAGAAAACTGAGGGTCAGATAAACAACTCTTATTAATAATACTGAAACACTATGAGTCAATAAAGTTCTGTTGTAGCCTTTCAGACCCCCCATCCCCCAACAAAAACGTGTCCCTATTTGATACTGCTTTTTTTAATAGTGTTTAGGATAGATGGTTATACATTGTCTTTACCTGGCTGCAGTACAGAGTGTGTTGCTCGTTCACACACTGCACACACGCTATGAGATACTTCATATGCACGTCAAAACTCTTCTTCGCATATAAATTGCACGATAAATACAATGCATGCTAACGCATTTCATGAGATCGGGTTGATAGAAGACAAATAAGTATCGCCTACTTCAAGTATACTTGAAGTATACTTCATTTTAAGTATACTTAAGTAAAGTTCAAGTATACAGTATTTATTATACTTTGGCTGCGTCCAAAAACTGATAAATGCTGCCTTTGGAGGACACATTCCAAGTTCGGAAGGCATAAAGACATGTCTGAATGTTAGTTTCACTTCCTGTCTCCTTCATCTACCTTCATCTGATGGATTTTTGAAGCCAGCATAGATGTATCCTTCGCTGCCTTTGATATCCCACAATCCTGTGCTTTCCATTCTGTGACAGTTGAGCAAGAAAAATAAAGATGGCATCTGAAAGTTGCGGCTGGTCGTCAGTTTGTGTGTAAATGTAAAATTTGTATCAATGTTTTCCACTTATGATGTCATTTCTAATGAGAAATCACTAGTAATGAAATATTCACTTAGTTTTCACCAAAGCTCGCTCTATTTTGCTGTAGATCATTAAACCGTATACGCTGCCTCAGAAGTCTGTCCGAAATCAGTTTCGTGAGGAACCTTCGTGTGCAAAACGCTGCCTACAAAGTCATTACCTGATAGGGCAGCGAGGCAACAAGTCAGCTGCCTATGTTTTCAGATGCAGCCGTGATGTAGTAATCATCAATGTACTAGTATACCTGTAAGTGTACTACTTGGGACTAAATTGGCCCTCTTTTTAGTGTATAATAGTATACTTTTAAGTGTAACAGTACTAAACGTTTTCGTTTGTACTGCAATAATACAAGGGAACTTATAGGTATTTCTGATTCTTGTAGCACATTTTGTAGTTAATGAAAGTAGGCCTACACTTTGAAGTATACTTTGTTAACTACTAATTTAGCAGTTTTATACTGCAAGTGTCCTACTTGTAATTTTTTTAATTGAACTCATTCTTATAGTTTACTATTTATATATTATTGTGCACTGTAAGTACACTACTATGTTCCCATAAAACATGGAAACCCAACATGCGTTAGTGTTATATCTATTAGTATCCACCTGCAAATACATTGTGTATTTGTATTGGTGTGTACATTGCAGCAGCTGCAGCTGCAGCATATGTAACTGATCTTTCTGAGATGTATAAGATTTCATGTTACGTGTGTCACACAGCGTGGGGAGTTGGTAAATAGTGCTGAGGCAGGACAGAACATTCTAAAGAGCTAGACGTGTCTTGGAACACAATGTTCAAATGTGTGTGTGTGTGTGTGTGTATGTGTGTGTGTGAGTATGTGTGTGTGTGAGTGAGAGTGATAGACTTTCAAAGTTGTTTTAGTGAGATATCTAACCTCAACTATCCCTTAACACTCCCTAGACAAAAACTGTAGTTTTCAAAATAAAAAATAACAGTCGTCACGTTGATTCGGGCACACAAACATACAAATCTCAACTGTGGGGAAAATAATGGGTGGACAGAGGTTCAGTAAACAGAAACGCCTGATAAGGACAATGCTGACGAAGCTACACTGATTATAATTTCCTTGTTTCTCTTCTTGTTGTTCTCATGATCTGAAGAGCATCACACCATCAACAGAAAGGACAGAGGGTTGGAATACAGTAACCAATAAGAAAAACATCTCCCCGAGACGTAAAAAGACAGAAATAAAGATGTGTTTGTTTGTATTCATGAATCAAACATATTTATCTGAACTATCTTTCAGGAAACTATGTAGCCTAGATGTTATAAGCAAAATGAACTGGTAGTCACAGTGTTACATTTTTATGTTAACAGCAGCATAGTTGTTGGGGGTTTATGTTAACTTGCAGACAGTCATTTTTATACAAGTTAACCATATAGTTTATTGTAGTGCCTGGTCAAGCCCTTGTAACCTGGTTTCTTAAGCTCCTAAGTTATCTTCTGAGGGCATTGCATAGAAAAGCAAGCAGCAAATAGGCCTATACGTTGTGTGAATAGATCCAGATCTCACAATGATTTTTGTCTTGCAATAAAACGGTCACATCTGTTCCACAATTATCTTTCAACAAGGTAGTCACAGGCTATGACCCCATTTCTCATCCCTCAGACTATTTTATTAACAGACTCTCCATTTAACAGAAGCTTTTCAGTAAAGGTCATTGTGTCTTCTTTGCTGTAAATGCATAGAATACCACCTGAGCCTATGATGCGCGCGCACAGACATCTCTCTCTGGGGGGAAAAGCACATCTGAAGTGTTTGAGACCGTTTATCATGTAAAACCTTAATGCGACAGAGACCTCTGGTGGAACGTTTTGGTATATTCAAGACGTCTAGAAGCATTAATGAAAGTGTAAGTTGAGAAACATTGATATTATATGACAAATTCCTGAAGTTCCACAAGTAATTGCCTACCATAATATGGAGAAGCATCGCGAAAATCGTGAATGTGCGAGTTGTGTTTTTAGTTTTACGCACTTAATCTGTGCAACGTGTTGCGAGGGTTGCGAGTGAGAATTGCACACACTTCTGATTGGCTGTGATTTGTGACATATTGTGTCGCGTTGCGTCTTTCGTGCTGTTTATGCGCGGATATGAACCAATGGAATCTATGTTGGCCATATATAGACTATTTACATATCTTACCAGTGTTGCCAGATTGGGCGGGTTCCCGCCCAATTGGGCGGTTTTAAATTTGATTGTGCGGGTAAAAAAGGGTTTGGGCGGGTGGTCAAAATTTGGGCTGGTTTGGGATCATTTCGGCGGTTTTCAAACATCTACATTTTAAAGTCTAATTGGTTAAAAAAAAAAAACGAAACTAAAGTGCATGTAGTCCATAAAATCAGTCATCATGACATTATTGTACACACACGCTCATGCAGAGTCAGCTGGCGTTAGTGTTGACATCACCGACGAGCACGCACTTTTAGCCAATCAGCGATCCGCAGGCAGACGCGATTGAGCGCGAGAAGTTGTAGCTGTATATTCAAGTGATCGCTAAGGCAAAGTGACAGCCTACTATACAAAAGAGTGTACAGTAGTACTAGTCTAGTGAGCAACTCTAAAAAACGCACACGTGGAAGGAGATCACTCTATGGTGAATAACTCTGAGAGGAGAGCACAGTTGAATGACTTGAATTGAAATCAAATATGGGACGATTCCTGTCCATGTCATATGTGCACACTAGCCTAACCAAACATCTGCAACTTTACACCATCCAGACTGCACTCTACTTGTCCCTGACAGCTGCTGAAAAAGGTTTGAATCAACGATGAATTTTGACTGCTAAATTCTGCGTTATGTTTTGCAATGTGTACTCCCGAGGGTTAAAGTCATCGGTTCATTTCTTGATTGCCGTTTTGACAGTGTCCACCTGGACATTTGAGTCATATTGGCTAATTATCCTTAATTATTGCCCTGTTTTGATCTGTTTTGCTGGAATTTTTTATTTTTTTATTTTTTTTATCATCGTTATTTTGTTTTAAGGAGATACAAATTGTGCTTATCAACCTTAAATAACATGGTAATGAAATTATATCACATTATTTTGGCAGTAAAATTTTGGGCGGTTTTTTCTTGTAGTGGGCGGGTTTTGGTGAGCTTTTAGGCTGGAAATCACCGTCCCAATCTGGCAACACTGTATCTTACAAGTATTTACAAGTCTCCGACTGTTTCATCTGCAGTGAAAGTGAAAGTATTGCAGTGGACAAGTTGGTTTGCGCAAACAAAGGGTTCAAGTTGTTGTCAGTTCTTGCTGTGTGAATTGCACGGAACATTTTGGTAAGGTCTTTACGATCGCCATTGTAATGAATTCCTACTGTTTCACTGATCATCCAGATGTCTTGACAGCAATCACTTTCATGTTGTAAACTGAAAGTCAGAATTTCTGGTCTATCTGAGCTATCATCATACATGACTGTGAGGCAGCAAAATACAAACATTTATCAAGTATGTATGTGTGTCTAGCAAAACTGTCATGTGGAGTACACGTGTTTGAATTTTCTTTTAGCAATCAAATGCAACGTTTAAAATGGCAAATGAATCAGGTTACATTATTAGTAATTAATTCTTACAACGATGAGTTTCACATTTGTGAAGGAAACAACAGCACTTCCTCTTGCATCTTGATTTGAAATATAATATGAGATTGAGAAACTGATACATGTCTTGATTTTCTTTATAGGACAAACTATAATAAGCAAAATAAAGGACTGTTGAGAAGGACTTCAGACATTTAAATATCATGGCCTAAACTGTTTTTACATATTTCCTAAAGCATTTTTTATAACACTGTTGACAGATCTTTTTTTTAAGATGGCTATGTTTGAAGATTACTGTATAATAACTCAGGAGGACCTAGAGGATATTAAAGATTCCATATCCACTCAGGATCTTCCATCAGCAATAACAACAATCAAAGAATACCTCAAACAGCAAGATCTTGTAGAACTTAACATTGGTGTGACGGGAGAGTCCGGTTCTGGAAAGTCCACGTTTGTCAATGCATTCAGGGGTTTAGAAGATGAAGATGAAGGCTCTGCTGAAACTGGCCCAGTAGAAACCACTATGGAGCCTGAAGTTTACCTTCACCCTAAATACAAAAATGTGAAGGTGTGGGATCTTCCTGGAATTGGAACACCAAACTTCAGAGCCGACGAGTATCTTAAACTGGTTCAGTTTGAACGCTATGATTTTTTCATCATCATTGCTTCGGATCGGTTCAGAGAATGCCACACTCAGCTGGCCAAAGAGATCATGAGAATGGGGAAAAGGTTTTATTTTGTTCGTTCCAAAATGGACTTGTGCATTACTGCTGAAAAGAGGAAGAAGAACTTTGACCAGAAAAAGACATCTGATACCATCCGAGAGGATTGTGAAAATGGTAAGTTATTTCATTTTATGATAATGATTTAAACAACAAAAAGTTTAAGATGTGTTTAAAATTGTTACATTGAACAAATGTAGTTTACTAATGCAAAAACAACAATAATATTAAGGATTATATTGAAAATGTACATAGCCTATTTTTTAGATTTAACAAATCTCTTATTTTATGATGCCCTTTCTTCTATGTCTATAGGTCTGAGAAAGATCGGTATAGAGGATCCGGTCGTATTCCTGATCTCTGGTTGGGAGCTCGGCAAGTATGATTTAAATCAACTGCAGGAGAGGATGGAGAAAGAGCTTCCACAGCATAAGAGACGTGTGCTGATGTTGGCTTTGCCAAATATTACACTGGAGATTAATGAGAAAAAGAAGAAAGCTCTGGAGGAAAACATTGGAAAAGTTGCTTTCCTGTCTGCTTGTATAGCTGTTATTCCTCTTCCTGGTCTTTCGATCACTGCAGATATAGCCATCATAGCAGACGAGCTGAGAAAGTACTACAGTGTGTTTGGTCTGGATGATCCATCCCTACAGAAGCTTTGTGAAAGATCTGGGAAAACCGTAGAAGAATTGAAGAGTCTGATGAAGTCTCCTCTGCATCAAGGGATAAATACAAGTTCAATATTAACCTTGCTGGGTGCTGCGTCTTTTCTAATATCAGAAGATACTGTTGAGTTACTTGTGAGCCTTATTCCCATCATTGGCAGTTTGGTGGCAGGAGGATTGTCTTATCTGACTGTCTCAAGAATGCTGAAGAGAGCTCTGAATGACATCGCTGATGATGCTAGGAATGTTCTGATCGCTTCACTGGAGACTGAAGTGTAAAAGACAAGAATGTTCAACAGCGTTTAGATCTAATTGCTATTGAGGTATTTATAGACAAAGCATTTATGACATTTAATGTAAAATATCTAATAGACCTGCATGATATAGATTTCACACTGTATTCACATTACATGCATTTAATTATCTGTTACTTTTATCCAAAGCAACATACATTTGATTTAAAATACAGACATGTGATTAAATGTATAACATTTTTACATTTGGAGAAATAACTTTTGTTTGCAAATATTTGCTCAAAATTTGCATTTCTTTACATCGTGTTGTGTCTTTCTACTTGATAGATTGCTTTTGGCCCTCTCTTCTTCCAATTTACTTTCCATAATAAATCCTCAGCTGCCACTGCTACTCGTGACTACATTAAATTAAAAACATTTATCACTTTGTGATAAGTTACCGTTTGTGTGTTGGCTCATCAACGGACTCCTCCAAACCTGGTGAAAGATACAAAGATCAATATTCCAGATTCAGTCATTCAGTTTCTCTTTCTTTGTTGTTACCCACCTGTACATAATGTGTTGAATAAATAGCATCTGGGTTCAAACTTAAATGTAATAACTTAAGAAGCGCAATTACATCCCAATATTTTGAAATATAAATACAAGTACAATTGGCCAGATAAAGCTGGAGTGTCAAAGGTTGTTAAGATTTAATATCAGCTGTTTAAACTATTGCCACAGTGACAACTGCCATAAATCAACTGATATTGCAGTTTGTTCAGTGGACAGGGCAAATAATTTTACAAAACTTAAAATTAATGTAAAAAGTAAGGTTTCATTTACAGTATATCTTGATCACAAAATAAAAGATCCATATGATCTTTCTCACTGTTAAAATGGGAGTTTCAGCTGAAACGTCTGGGTTTTCCTTACATTGCTCAGTAATCACATTATTTTATTTTGCCCTTTTCATTATTTTGTTTGTTGCTGAAAGATTTGCATGTGTGATTTTCACATTCTTAAAGTCTCTTACTCATTACTGCAGTGAAAACATTTAGCCTTTTGTGATTAACTTCAAACCTGGGTGTGTACAATCGTTCTCGGGTTCTTTTGAGGCAGTGCCGATAAATCCTGAGACTCTTTATTCTCATTGTACTGCTTTTCATTGATAAATTACAGAACAGGTTTGAATACTCTGACCTACTCCATTCAGCCAAATAATACATTGAAATAAAGTTTTTTATTTTATTTTAAACTAAATGTGTATTTATTTGTAATTATTTATCAAGGATTAAGGATTTTTTTTTTCTGATTGTTCTTGTGTGTTATATGCCACATTAACTTATATTTGCAAGTACTTTCATCACAATTCATTCATTGTTTCTCTTCAGGAAACAAACATGTCAATGCAGCTCTGAATTAACATACCATGGTATTTTAAGCCTCAGTGAATGCAGATATCCACCCAGTGTCCAAAACAGGGCAGTTAAAAAAATAAGGTTAAATTAAACCAAAAAAGATTAACTTTTAAACTAACTAACTAGTTTAAACTAACTTTTAGCATTTCATCCACTTTCCACTTTCTTTGTCCTTGAAGGGGAAAATATCTTACTGTCAAATAGTAACTTTAATAACTTTTTTAAAACAATTTTATATTAAATGTTTAATCATTTGTAATTACTTATTAAGCGCTAAGGAGTTTTGGTGATTGCCATGTGATTTCATGAGTATTTGCTTGTATTTTACGTCAAGTGGGGTTCAACCAAACATTTTTATAGATCCCAAAACGCACAATATTAACATAGGTTACTGACAGCATCTAAAATGACAATCATTTAAATATGAACAACTTTGAGATATATAAACGTTTATGAATCTTTATTGAATCTATAAATACTCAATTGGGTGGTTCTGTTATTTAATCAATAAAATTAGTAACCATATTTATTTAATGGACCTGACAGATATTTTGATTTGAAATGATCACTCTCTATGTTCTGTGTGACTTTTTGTGCCGTATATTCAACTCTTATATTGTAAGAGAAGCCTTTCTATCTGTTTTTTTTTTTCTGGTGGTCTATCAATGCCACGTTAATGTCTATATTTCAACACATGAAGTCTAGGTAAATATTTATGTCGCTCTCCTATGGTGATTTGGCAGTGAAAGTGAAAGTATTTTTTGGGGCGGATCTCTGCTTTTGTTTTATGACTAGTGTAAAAGTTAATAGGTCTGCGCAACAAGCTTCATTTCAGATCTGCTGTCTGTCAGTGTCTTCTTGCTGTGTGGATTGTTTAGAAGATTTTGGTAAGAATGATGTTTATATAACTTTTGACAGCAATATTTTTCATATTGTAAAAGGAAATGTTCAGAATTGTTGTGCTATCCTCATTCACATTTAGTGTGATCAAGCGAAATAGAAAATAGGCTATCTAGTATGAATTTATTTAAAGTTTCCTTCAATGCTTATAATGTCAAATCCATTTTTTTAGCAATCAAATGTTACATCGAAAATACCTGTTGAATCAATAAGACTTTATATTATAAGAGTAATTTGTGCATTCGTTTTCAGTCCACTCCTGATTGAATATTTCAAACTTTTCTTTACAACAGTGAATTTCACGTTGGTGAAGGAAACAACAGTTCCTCTATTCTTAGTCCAAGTTCCTGTCTCGTGCTCTGAAACATAAAGGTGAGTTTGAAAAGATAAAAAGGGGTATGTGTAACACTTTACTTTTCAGTTTTCAAACCGTACAGTTGTTCAAAAATGCTTAAACACATTTTTTTTAAACTAGGCTCCATTTCTCAAAACTCTACAAAAAAAAAAAGCTCTACACACAAACATCAAATGATTAGCCACATACAGGCCAAACTACACACAGATGTGAACAATTTAAAATGTTTTGCTTGTTCAGTGTGTGGAGTGTACATGGAGTTTGTCACACCTAGGCCTACATACCGGTGTATGTGCACAAATACACTGTACACGGGTCTAACAGTTCAGTTTTCAAACCGATTTTTGTGTTTATTCAGCTCAAATCAGTTCAGAGTTGATTCAGTTCATTTCAATAACTGTTCATTTCAACTCTAAACTGATTTGAGCTGAATAAACACAAAAATCGGTTTGAAAACTGAACTGTTAGACCTGCTTTACAGCATACTTAAATTTTTTTTACTATTGTGAAGCTGCTTTGGAACAATCTGTATTGTGTTACAGTGCTACAGAAATAAAGGTGACTTGACCTGACTTACAAAATAAAAAGAAATGCAAGGAAAAAGAACAAAGAAATTTGTTTCTCAAAACATTAAGTTTGATTACTAAGTGATCAATTTATGTTTGATAAGTGTTTTCACAAGATCACTGGGTGTAGGTCATCAGTAAATGAGTGTGACATTTAAATGGCAGTGTTTCCCAAATTAAACAAAAGAGAGCGGGTGACGGTGGCTGCTTATGGAAGTTCTGTTTAGGGGCAGGCGTCGCTGTGGCTCGACACGAGGAGCAGTTGGCGACAGCTAGACTGTGAACGGGCAGGAAATGGCAGAAGGAAGTGAGGAGACAGGAAGTGAGACGGGAGTTGAAGAAGAAGGCGGGAGAGGTAGAAAAAAAGGAGAAAGTGACATCTCATAGAGATGAAACAGATAGTGAACAAAGTATGACAATAGTAATTAAGCAACAAGATGAGGAATATAAAGTGATCATGAAATTATCTCAGGAGGGGTCATCATTTGGTGAGTGGAATCCGATTCAAATAACAAAATCAATAAACAAGTTGATAGGTGAGATCAAAAATGCAAAAGTATTAAGAAATGGAGCGTTGTTGATTTTCTGTAGGAATAAAATACAACAAGAGAAAGCCCTAGAACTGAATAGAATAGATGGCAAGAAGATAAAGTGCGTCTCGACTGGAAACAAGGCGTTGGTCCGAGGAGTTATCACAGGAATACCGATAAATGTTACAGAAGAACAAATCAAAGACAATGTAACAGGGGCAAAAGTGTTGGAGGTAAAACGCCTTAAAACAACTAGAAATGGGAAGAAGAGTGATAGCCTGTCTGTTATGATTAAGGTTGATGAAGAAAGACTTCCAAGCAGGATATACATGGGGTTGAGCTATGAGGTCAGGCCATACATCCCTCCCCCACTAAGATGTTTTAAGTGTCAGAGATATGGCCATGTAGCAGCAGTGTGTAAGGGTAAACAAAGATGTGGTAGATGCTCAGGTGAGCATGAGTATGGGGAATGTGGGGAAAGAGTAAAGCTGAAATGTTGTGAGGTTGGGTGCACAGTGCAGCCTATCGTGGGTGTGAAGTTAGCAAGAGAGCAATGGAGGTGCAGCGACTGAGATCGCTGCAAGGAATAACATATGCAGAAGCTGTAAAAAAAAAAGTGTTTAAGGAAAAGGAAGCCTATAAACCAGAAACCAAAGAAAATAAAAGTAGGTCTTGTGAGAAGTGTGAAAAAACTGAGACAAAAAAGGATTTGTTAGTTGTGGGTAAAAATGAGTTTGTGATGTTTATGGTTTAGGTAATTAACTGTTCGGCACAGACAGACAGAAAGACAGAAAAGATCAAAATAATAGTTAAATCAGCAGAAAAATATCTAGGAATAAAAGGGCTTGATTGTGAAGTAGTGGAAGAAATGATAGTGGCAGGAAGCGCAAACTCACAGGTATGGGCTGGTGGCTCTTTAGCTATATTGCCAACATGACATCATGACTTTGCGTAAACATACACGCCACTTTTAAGTCAAGTGGCGTGTTATCTATACGCATTTTGAGCTATCCGCGTGTATGTCTACGCCGTTAAATGTCCGAGTGATTAGGCGTGTATGTGTACGCCGTTAAATGTCCGAGCGAAACGAAGCAAATTCTATATCTACATCTGGCGAGCGATATTTTTTTACCTAGGATGGTACGGGAAGACTCATAAATGGTATTAACCCCAGTGACGGGTAGGTTTAGGGACGGGGTTGGGGTAGGTCATATATTTATATATACAGTAATGTAACGTTAAGTCAACGGCATTGATAAACACGCTGAAAAGCGATTATGCGTGTTGATAGCACGCCAAAAATGGAAATACGAATTGGCGTGTCATACTCCCAAAGCCTTATAGCAAATGGACAGGAATTCAAGAATTTTGTTTCAGATTTAGCAGATGGACCTCATGTAATATGTGTGCAAGAAACATGGTTAAAACCACAGTTGGATTTTGTATTGTATGGATATACTTCAATTAGGAGAGATAGGGAAATAGGAAAAGGTGGAGTAGCAATTTTTGTTAAAAGTGGGCTAAGATATAAACTTATTAGTAAAGGGAAAGAATATGAATCTGTTGGAATTGAAGTATGGTCAAGGGAAAATAGTATAAAAATAGTCAATTTTTACAACTCTTGCAATAAATTAGGTACTGATATGTTGGAATTAGTTTGTGGATCAAAGCAGGGTAAAGTAGTGGTATGTGGGGATTTTAATGCACAGCACATTATGGGGAAGTAAAAATACAGATATAAATGGATTAGTAATAGAGAAATGTATAGATAAGGAGCTGGTGTGTATTAATGATGGAAGGGGCACACGGTATAATAGTTCAAGTAATACAGAAAGTGTTATTGTCTAACACTAGTGTCAATTGGAATTGCAGGAGTTAGTGCATGGGAAGTAATAAGTAGATCGACAGTGGGTAGTGATCACTATCCAATAATAACTAAGATTGGCATAGAGATGTGTCACAGGTCGGGATGGCCCCCCCTGGCGCAGACCACCCCTGTGAGCGTACCACCCCGAGGAGTTACCCAGAGACACCAGGAAACCAGACAAGGTATCAAGTATAAAAAGTATTTTATTGAATTAAAATTGCCTAAACTAAAACTTGGTGTCTCCTCTTCCTGGCCGCCAGGGGTGTGCGACGGAGCAGGCACTAACAGTGGATACACGCAGCGGGGCCTCTTCGGGCGGCCAAAGGTAAAAATCACGGAACAGACTCTTGCAAGGGATTCACACCGTCGTTCTCCTCACAGCAGAGGCCAGTAAATGAGCAGATGCTTCTCAGGAGTTCACACGACAGTTCCTCTTCACACCACCAGGGGTAAGTAAGGGAGCAGATGCTTATCTGGAATTCACACGGCCGTTCCTCTTCGGGCAGCCAGGGGTAAGCAATGGAGCAGATGCTTATCTGGAAATCGCACGACAGTTCCTCTTCGGGCAGCCAAGGGTAAGTAAGGGAGCAGATGCTGATCTGAAATCTCACGACAGTTCCTCTTTGGGCAGCCAGGGGTAAGCAATGGAGCAGATGCTTATCTGGAAATCGCACGACAGTTCCTCTTCGGGCAGCCAAGGGTAAGTAAGGGAGCAGATGCGTCCAGGAGTTCACATGACAGTTCCTCTTCACACCACCAGGGGTAGGTAATGGAGCAGATGCTTATCTGGAACTCTTACGACAGTTCCTCTTCGGGCAGCCAGGGGTAAGTAAGGGAGCGGATGCTTATCTGGAAATCACACGACAGTTCCTCTTCGGGCAGCTAAGGGTAAGTAAGGGAGCAGATGCTTCCAGGAGTTCACACGACAGTTCCTCTTCACACCACCAGGGGTAAGTAATGGAGCAGATGCTTATCTGGAATTCTCACGACAGTTCCTCTTCAAGTCAACAGCATGCACATACTCATGACAGGGCTTTCTTCAGTGTGAGAAGCTCAATGGGCCGATACTGGTTCTTATTTGGAACAGGAGAATCAAACAGCAACACATGAAGGTTTCACAAATCCTCTTCAAATCATCAGTATTCAAATACTCAAAGCAGGGGCTTGCTTCAGTGTGAGAAAGCTCAATGGGCAGATGCTGGTTCTTGTTTGGAACAGGAGAATCAAACAGCCATACATGAACCTTTCACGAATCCTCTTCACCCTGGACAGACTGGAGCTACAACCCTGTACAGTGCACACTCATCACACAGCAAATGGTTACTTCTGACTCAGCACTCCAGGACAGTGAGTGTGACGGCTGGGAACACGGACAGACACAAGGTGACAATCCTCACACCGGTGCATACATCAATCACTTCAAATAGTAACAGGTGTTCACTTCACACTAAGCACTGCAACTCACACCAACTCACAGTGAATAAGGTCTCCGCTCGTTATCCCAGCTGACTCCCTCCTCCTGAGTTGATGAAACAGCACATCCAGACTGTACAGGAAATGTACTACGCACACACCACTGACATTAAAAGCTGCAACAGCATCAGACATCCGATTTCAATAGGCATCATCAGAATTCAATAGGCTTCAGGGCAAACTCGCCAGACGTTTGTATACAACACAAGCATTGAGTCAGATAATAAGGATTCCCCATGGCACTTAGCAGCTAACTGTCTCACTTCTCTGTTAGCTGCTACTGTTGTCTCTCCTTCCCCGTCCAGGTTGAATCGCCGTTTTAGACTCCTTCTCTGCCGCGGATCGGCCCTTCCAGCTCTGCGTGCTTTCTTCACTCAAACATCCGCTTTTATGATCCCCCTCGTGAGCGCCGTGATTCAATCTCCGCCCATCTCGCAGCTGCCGCTCGTTTCTCCCGTTTGCGGGATCCAGCCATAGACAGTATAAGAAGTGGACAGAGCCATCTCATTGGAACTCAGTTGAGACAGTTGAAGCCCATTTTTAGCGATTTTTGAGCACTTCCGTTCCTGACGCGCAGACTC